GGTCACACAGCGAGGAAAGAGTTGAATCTGGGGCTTTCTCTGACTCCATGGGCTCTCTTGACTCAAAAGGACAATGCGTGGCGGACCTTCACCATCTGATGCTCATGCTATTCTTTTTGTTTTGTCCTAAATTCAGGACTTCACATTTCTCTTCTCAATGAGGGAAGTAGGCCATCACATTTTGCATTTCCTTATCTCTGACACGTTAGGCTTCTCTAAGCTTTATGCTGTGTGCTGTCCCCAATCCTACTTCACTGTCCTGCAGGCCCTGTCATGGCCCCTCAGCCCATGTGTCACCTGTTCAGCCTCACACCTGAGCATTCTCTACAGATGCATCAGTTCTAGGTCTTCCACCAGGGATCTGTAATGCGTTAACCTGGTCATAAGTTGTAAGAGAATTTCCACGCTCTTCTTAAAATTCCCTACAAACCTTGATTTATTTATCTTGGAGTCAACAACCCTTTTCTTCCTGGCTCACCTCTCTCCTTTACATTTGCTGTTAGATAAAGTTTTTAGTGACCTCCCCATTTTCTTTGAGATCATTGTGGTCCTTGAAAGCTGTCAGGGTGGTTCTTTAAGGTTAGATTCCAAAGCATATGCCCAGAACTTGTGAGGAATTCCTCCAAATACAAAAGAGAGCTGTCCATTTGCTTTTTCAGCAAGTGCCATCAGATCGCTCCCTGTGAAAATCAGCATCCATGTATTTCCCCTAAAAGTCCTCATTACAAACTAGTGGCCTTTGGAGAAGTAAGACCATTCCTTCTCAAGACTGGATTTTGCATTTCCCTGTTTACATCTGGAGAAGAGCCATATGCTATCACTGCAGAATGCAAAGCAGAAGAGGGAGTAAGAGCCAGGATGGGAGTGGAGCTTCGTACCCCAGCAGGGCGAGCTGTGGGCAGCATTGCCGCACTGGCGCATTGGCCAGCTTCGTGCAGCTCTCCAACAGCAAGCACCCAAGGCTGACGCTGCCTCTGAAGAGGCATATCACTTGTTCCTTCTGCCCCGTACGGGGCTGTTTTCTGCACCCACTGTGAGTGGACTAAGGAAAAATGAACAGTCGTATGTGCAATTTCATTTGGCCCGAGTCATTTCAACATCTGTAAAGCAACCAAGAATTCATCCATCACAAAATAAAGTCATTATTGAAGCAGCTGTTACCCAGACACGACTCTCAGCTGGGGCGGTGGGAGAGCAATTTATCTCTTAGCAGCTGCTTGCCCACGTCTAACTTGCGATTTACAGAGGAGATATCCTCAGAATATAAGGTTCAGGCAGATGTGTTGAAAATGGCTCTTTAAATTCTTTGGAAGATTTGTCTTTTGTTTTTCAATTTATAAAAGACTCAAAGAAAATTTGCAGAATTCAGAAGCCTGTATATAAGGATTTCTAACCCAGATGACCATCACTAATATTTAATATAGTCCCCTTCCAAGTATTTCCCCATATATTAGATAGATAGATAGACAGACAGACAGACAGATAGATAGTGTATAATTGAGGACATACTGCATATTTACATGTATTTGTATCATCTCCTGAATGAAATCAGCCAGAGAAAATGCGTCTATGCATACGAACCTGCCCTCAGTTTAGCCAGGTTTCCTCGGGGTCTCAGCCAGTGATTCAACTTCTTTTCTTCTAATGTTTGGCACCTTATTTCATGTGGCCACTCTCCATGACTTCTGGAAAATTCCCCTGCTCGGTCTGGGCACCCTTGACTTCACACAGTAGGATGTCTCTCTAAGTATACATTCTTCTGTGATTCTCAGTGTCCAGTATTAACAGATGAGAAGGATAACGGACATAAGTCAATCCCATATATCACGTAGGGAAAAGCTGAAGGAAATACTTCAAGTCAAAAGGAAATGAAACGATGCACAATGTTAGAGAAGTGTTAACAGAGCCCAACTTGAAGACCAAAGAGAAAGGAAATATAAGCCAAATCAGGCTGAACTGAGATCTTCCCCCTACACGCAGCAATAAGACAATCCTATCTGAGTATTTTTCTCGGCTCTCTTTCAAACCTTTATGAGAAAGGAAGATGTATACACACATCCCTTACCTTCGGGGAACTCACAGACAAGAATATGTACCACCCTTTATGGCCAGGTGTCCTCACCTCGACAGTAGTGACATTTAGGACCAGTTCCTCCTTTGTCATGTGGGGCTGCCTTGTGCTTCGTAAGATGTTTAGCAGCATCCCTGGACTCTGCCCATTAGATTCTAGTGACACTTGCCACCCCCAGCAATGTTGTGACAACCCGAAGTGTCTCCAGACTTTGCCAAACATTTCTTAGGGGGCAAAACTGAGATTCTCCCCAGTTGAGAATCACTAAACT